CTTACACGTGTCTGTCAAGCTGCAGTGGCTACGAGGAAGGCACCAGCGGATTAAAGAATGAAGTTGTTCAAGAAGGGAGAAAAGGAATGCTCCAATTATAGGGGCATTACGTTATTGAGCCTCCCAGGTAAAGTCTACGCAAAGGTGCCAAAAAGGAGGTGCTGCGGATTAACTGACTTCATGATACATGAAGAGCAATGTGGTTTCCGACCCGGTTGAAGTACCTCTGACGTATATTTGTCCTGCGCCAGATTGTCGAGAAATCTTGGGAGTACGCCCGTCTGGTGTACTTGTTTTATTGTTGACCTAGGAAAATCCTGTGACCTGATCCCACGCAGCAGTCTGTGGTCATGCCTGCGAGCATACAGGATAGATGGCCAGCTGCTAAGGGCCATCCAATCACTGTTTTCTAATAGCAGGTGCTGCGTCAGTAAATGGCATTAAGTCGAAACTATTCAGCGTTTGCACTGGTTTCCGCCAAGGCTGCCTCCTGTCCCCTATCCTTTTTGTGTTGTACATGGATAGAATAGTCAGGATCTGCCAAGGCGATGAGCGTTTCGGTGTAGATGTGAAGACAAGAAGGTTGCTGCTTGCAGACGACCTTGTTTTATTAGCTTCTTCTGAAACTGATCTACATTGCTCCATAGAAAGGTTCGCAGTGGAGTGCAACGTCAGCGGCATTCGTGTGAACGCATCTAAAACAAAAAGTCGTGGTTTCTCGTTTTCCTGCCCATTGCTCTCTTCAGATTAACGAAGAGGCAGTGGAGCAGGTGGAGAAGTTCAAGTACCTCGGAATAGTATTTACTAATGATGGAAAATTGAAGGAAGAGATCGACCGGTGAATTGGAGTAGCCAGTGACGTTCTGCGTGAACTAGCCCAATCCATTGTGACTTTAGCAGAGCTCAGACTCTAAACTAAGCTCTCGGTGTTCCAGCCCATCCATCTTTATCCCATGCTTACCTACGGGCATGAGTCATGGGCCATCACAGTGAAAAACTTCGAACCTGGTTGCAAGCTGCTGAAATGGACTTTCTTAGATGAGTCGCTATCCTTACGCGTCTTGACATGGTTCGGTATACTGACATCCGGAAGAGCCTTGGTATACAGCCTCTGCTTCTCACAGCTGTGATAGTTTGAGCATGTGTTTTGAATGCCTTCGAAAAGGAAGGCTATGCAACTGTTTTTTGCTAAACCGACCGGCAGACGGCCCACGGGACGGCCGAGATTAACTTGGTGCAATTGTATAGAAGGAGTCTGTTCCAGACTCCATTTGTCTTCTGCCGAAGCTCAGGCTCTGGGCAGAATCGAGAACGTTGGAAGCACTGTCTGACGCCTCTGCCTCCGCGACCCGAAGGGAGAAGCGGCAATCGAAGATGATTGAATGAATGAGCTTGAGCCGTTTTTCGCTGAGTTAATAGCTTGAGGTGTTAAACTGGTTTCGATTTGGTTGCTGTCTTCTTTACTTCCGGTCCGTTTAAGCTGTTCTTATTTCGTGTATAAGTATGTAGAGACTGAATTTTGTCCTCGTGAACTTTCGCCCTCTCACTCATCTAGCAGGTAGGAGCAGCGTATTCCGACATTGAAACAAACGAATCCTGGCGATTTAGTCGTTATCGTTAATACCTTTGATAAACGACGTGAACCATGAATTTTGTGTCAGGAAACCGCAGGTGGTCGAACGTTAGGCGGTAGTTGTGCCAACGTTGACCTACCCCACTGGTATACCACTATGAAATATGATTATTATCGTCTTTGGTTCATGTTCATGAGCAGTTACGCGTATCGTGTATCGATATTAATGAACGGTACCGGTGCCCTGGGGCAGGGCACGTTTCAGGTATGCAAAAATTTATATAGAAACGTGTATGGATTCTAACGAAATGGAGAGTACTAAGATTGTTTCATAGTTTTTATATCAGCTGACTGATTGAGCATAGATGTACATTTTTACAAATCCAGCGGTAACAAAAGCAGGTAACTTTGCGGCACGTAACAAAATCTTTGGCACCGTAAGAAAGGTAGGTGAAACTGCGATATAAGGATAAGCGCTTGAACGATTCATTCAGGGCACCAAACACTGCAGCTGGTAAAACATTTTATTTCCGACTCGTTTCGCTACATCGACTGTAGCATCCTCAGGTCTAGGTAAGGTACAAATGAATGCTTGAAAGACAGATGTCCAACACTCGAACAGTACTAGACAATCCGAATGTTGTTAAACTGAACGGTCACAGTGTTAACTAATAAGCCAGTGTAAAGTTCTCATTAAAACGATCGTATCAAGTTTGCAATCTTCCGCCAGAGCTTTCGCCGATAACCACAGAAGATATGTATTCACTGCACATCCGGTTTTTCATTGCCAGTATATGCAAAAACTCCTTTATCAGCAGACCTAATTTAGATTTGTCTCTTTCTATACCGACACATTGGTCTGACTGAAAGAATGTCTTTCTGTAATCGCATGTTGGGCAATACCACAATTATCATCTTGTCCAGGACAGACCGCAGAAAGGTGCTCTTTTATCCTGTTTAATTTTCAGTTGGTATTTCCAGTGTACACCTTGCCGCGGTCTCTACTTTGAACTTTGTATGCTTTATTTGACACATCTTCAAAAACAGTGTTATTGTGTTAAGTTACATTACGATGCTAAGCGAGCAGTTAGAAAGATTTTCATGTTGATTTCTGCGTTGTAGCACAGGTCTGAAAATAACTCTGCTTCTTGCCAGCACAGGTCTTTACTTCTCTGCGAACGCAGTTGTATTTTTCAGTCATTTACTTCCTTTCCGTATAGCTAGTGATTGAGGTTAGTGAAAAGAACCACATATGGAAATTGTTGTTTAGTGGAAGGTGCTGTTGGGATAGAGAATTTCTCTTGAAAACGATTTTAAGCCGTTTCTGGCGAATTGCGCTCATGAAAGGGACTTCGTGGCTGTATGTAAATGAGATCGTCAGAGAAGGTCAAAATGCTGACTCAGTGACTTGAAGCTGAGTACAGCGACAGAATACTGATCACATGGAACAGAGCGGAGAGCTGACCCGCTATGACATTTCTTGATTCAGATAATGCTTAAATATCAGCGCCGTATTAGTTTGGTTAGAAACAGGTTATTGGACTTTGACGTCTATTATAAAGGTGCAGTTTTTAAGTTAGAAGTCGGTTAATGTTTAATAAAGCACGCTAATTGCTCACGTACGATATGAATTACAGTTAAATTTGTATAACTTCAACTTTAGCGTTTTCTGAAGCAAACCGAAAAACGAAACTCAGCGTTCGCACACTTTCACGAACAGTGGACACTGAACAACTTGACAATGGAACAAGTGCATCGCACGGCTGACTGGTTCATGGGCAGACTGGATGATGGTTCCACGGTGTGGATGCAGCGCATTCAGGTCCCTTGCCCAATTCGAGCGCCATACTTCTTATGCAACAAATACATCGTCGACCGTTCCAAAAACGCTCTGAACGCTACCCAGGATCTAGCATTCATGCCGACTAATCATGGACGATGATCGTTTAATATCGTGCTTACAGTCGGTATCTCAGGGCCAGTTGTTTTTAAATAACATGCCTTTTTTAACTCCATGTTATTTTCACCGTACGACTGCGGTGGTTTTATGTCGTTCGAAAAATGTAATTGTATTCCGCTGAAATTAAATACTGTAGTATGTGCTGGCCCCTATGCGTCTACTTGAAATCTGTGCTCTGTCAAAAGTGGATTTTGTGAATTTGGCTTGTTTTAAAGTTGTTGTACGTGAAGCTTTTACGCAAATAAAGTAATTTCGAAAATAACTGTCAGGGCATGTTGATTGATGCAGTTCTTCTTCAGAAACCTGATGGATGATTAAAAATCAGTGTAAGAAATACATTTAGTCTTTGTTAGACCGCCTTCACTTATTTCGCCTTAAGTCCACAAGGTATACATTATAGCTGTATGATGCGACTGGTCTTTTATAAATCGTTGCGGATCTGTTACCTAATGTTGAAAGGCAGCACGCTTGTTAAGTCATGAAAAGTAACATACACCTTGGCGATACAACCTTCACAGACAACAGAGTTTTTATTTTTTAGCGATAGGGTGACCTACACATCGAAACCTGCAATGGCAACAAACCAGGTTAACAAGGATACTGACCGGAAATACTCTTGAAACAATGGAAGATTCAAACGAAACGCGAAACCTAAGAAGAACCTGTAATCAGCTTTGCTCTAAAGCGTAATAACATCAGTGATAGAAGATGAATATATTTCGAGTAGTGTTATCGAAAATAGATCAGAGCTGAACAGTAATTGCCTAAAACGAACGTCCATCACCGTTGGAATGTCGGTCTTACTTTACTTTCATTATGACAATTTTAACGCTCTTTTCATAAAGTTGATGGTGCGATGTTGATTTCCGTTTCTATGCCGTCAGCCTTATTTTAGAGGCACAGTCTACAGCCATGTAGCACGCGTAGCGTGTAGTCTCCTCTTTCTTTCCCACAAAGTGATACTCATTTATCAACCAGTGACCATAACCGCGGCATGAACTCGAAACGTATCGTTCTGAGTTCGACG